TAATAGGGTGGCGGATGCACCGAGTAGGAGGAATTTCTTACTAACGTATATTCGAGTTAAGGTACCTACTTTAGATTCATTTTGTGATTTACTTGATACCGACCCATATTCCTCTACTCGTTATGGAGAAGGTTGATGTAGGGAGAAGATAAAATTCCTCTTGCATGATGGGTTCTTATTCAAGGGAAACCATCTTTGTGTTCCCAATTGTAGTTTACGTTTGCATATTATTAAGAAGCTGCATGAGGAGGGTCATGTAAGGCGAGATAAAACATTGCAACCGGTTCAAGGTTTGTAATTTTAGCCTACCATTAAAAAAGAAGTGGATAAGTTTATGTAATGTCGTCGAATCCGCCAAGTGTCTAAGGGTGCAACCACCAATGCTAAAATTTACATGTCGTTGCATGTGCCTTCTCGACCTTAGGTGGATGTCAACATTGATTTTTTTGGAACTACACCGAATACGAGCGAGGTAATGATTCCATCTATGTAATTGTTGATCATTTTTCTAAGATGGTTCATTTTATTCCTTGCAAAAAGAAGACGGATGTCGTTAATGTTGCTCACCTTTATTTTCGAAAGGCGTATCCCCTGTACGATCCGCTTACATCCACCGTGTCCGACACATATACAAGGTTCCTTAGTCATTTTTGGCGTAGTTTGTAAAATATGGTGAACACACGGTTAAACTTTAACGAGTGCTTATCATCCACATATAGATGGGTAAACTAAAGTTGTCAATCGATCTTTGAGAAACTTACTACGATGTTTAGTTGGTGATCATGTCAATAGTTGGGCTCGAAAATTATGCCAAGCCGAGTTTGCTCATAATCATGTTCCGAACATGAGCATGAGATTCAATCCTTTCCGAGATGGTGTATTTTATCATGCCATGTGAGCCTTTGGATCCGATGCTCGCTGCCAAGAAAGACACGGATTCATGGTAAGGCAACCGATTTTATGATAAGACTAAAAAAGGTTCATAAAACTATGCATGATAACTTGACTCAATCTTATGCGAAGTATAAAATAGTTGCCGATAAAATACGTCGTCATGTCGAGTTTGAAGAAGGTGACTTCGTGTGGGTTGTCCTCACCAAGGATCATTTTTTTGTTGGAGATTACAACCAATTGAAAGCAAAGTTGGTCATGTGGAGATAGTTGAGTAGATTAATCCCACTCGCATATCGCCTTAAGTTGCCTAGTCATATTCGTATCGCTAATATGTTAAATGTCAAGCATTTGATACTCGTTTCGTGGTGACTCTTCCGATGATGATGATGAAATCAATTCAAGGTTAAATTTTCTCTTTCCTAGGGGGAATGATATGGACAAAAAAGCCTTAGAATTCATGGAGCGAGAATGATAGAGGATAGTGATGTGATTTGAGGTTTTTTCCCTAATTTTGAGGGTTTTTGGACCTAATTCGATGCCAAACGTGTCAATGATCAAAACTTATCGGCTTTGCTTATTACATAGGGGTGATTTTGATAAAAAAAAAAAAAAACATTGTTTTAGGCCCTCAAAATTACAATTTACTCGTTTTTGTGGATTTTTCATGATTTTTGGGATTTTTCCTATTTAATTTTGAATTTTTAGTGTTTGTTTCGTTTTCAAATTTCTTTAGGGTTTTAACCTAAAATTTACTATTTATGTAAGACTTCGAGCTGAAAAACGTCACTTTTGCTTGATTAATAAACTTATGTGAGAGAGTATCTCGGGTTTTTAAATTTTTAGCATTCTTTGAATCAACGAGATTGAAGCCTATTTTCTTGTATTTTTGTGTGCAATTCGAGTAGGTTGTAAAGATCGATATTTAGATTTCAAATCAATGGTATTTATTATTTTCTTGTGAGCTTCCGCTACGTCAAAAGAGGCTACGAAGGAAGCGATGAAAGGGATGCATGTGAAACAACACGAGCTTCAAAACCCGGTCTTAGAGTAGCGGACGACTATATATAGTCCGAAATCTTAGTACGACTCGATGACATCTTTAGTTCGAGGTCGGTATAGACAACCAAGGTGCTTGTAGATTCGTCGACCGGTCAACGGTTTATGGTTCCTTCCACGCGGCCTCTCGTTTAGCCTCTAGCCGATCCTCCCATCGAGCCCTCCACACGAGTATCGGGAGGAGGATATGGGATTAAACGAGCGAGAATGAGGGGTAGAACATTGCATTTAGTCACTTTGTTTTTTTTTTTCTAATGGAACGTAATCCTAATTGTTATTGTTAATATTAATTTATTTTTAATCTATACATTATTACTTGTGAATGTTCATTATTAAATATAATATTAATAATTTAAAAATAAAAAAATTATCAAAAAAAATTAATTTTACCAAAAAAAATAAAAAATAACAACATAATAATGATAAATTCATCTCTTATATTTAGCGACGGAATTGCGACGAGGTAACTTAGTTTTGGATATTAGTGATAGATTTTCGATTGCTATTTAACGATAAATAGCGATGGATTAGCGATGTTAGCAACGATAGATTCCATGATGAAAATAGCGACAAAAATTTCATCATTAAATTTGCAACGGAATGGATTTGCTATCACTAAAATTAGTGACAAGTGATATAACGATAGACTGAAATTCCATCACCTGGTCCATGCTAACCCATTTTAGTGATGAAATATCAACAATTATTGATGGAATAATCCATCACTAGTTGCCTTGTTTTGGTAGTGTGTGTGTGTATGTGTATGTAAATGTCGTACTTACTAGACTCGGAATATATAAAATAAATAAAAAACCAACTTAAAGCTGGGTGGAATATATCGAAGTGAATAGATTTAAATAAAAACTACTATAAAATTGGTTTCGATAAATTATATTTATAACCAAACAAAATCATGTGAATTTTTTTAACAATTATCAATTTCTTTAAAAAAAAAAAAAAAGCCAAGTCAAATTAATTTTTTATTGATTATTATTTTTAAAAAAATTAAGTCAAATTATTTTTAAAAAAAACTTTTAACTCTCTCTCTCTCTCTCTCTCTCTAGAATTTATATATGCAATAATGCCATTTTCATTTAAAAATCATAAAAATAATCAATCGTATAAATTATAATAATATATTTAAAAAAATAAAAAAATCATGTTCTAAAATTATATTTCAAAAACCATATATAAAAAAAATCAAATTTATTAACAAATGAAATTATATAAAATTTAAAAATTTATTTGATGAGAGTTTTAATAAGAAACAAACAATTGAAGAAATAAATTTTGAATAAAAAAATAATATAATAAGATATATATGTTCAAATTAAAATCTTAAAAAAAAATCATATATATTCTATTACTATCAAACTATACGTAAAACTAAAAAAAGTAATGATTTTTTTATACTTTCACACCTAATTTCATGATAAAAAAAAATATATAAAAATGAATTATCTATATAGAAGAGGAACAATTATCATCCGAGAACATATAGGAGCCGAAAACCAATCCTTCTTTCTTTTCTCAATTACTAGCGAGCCGACCTTAAAAAGAAAAGAAAAAAAGAGGGATGCTATTTTGAAGGAACGAGTTCCAATGACATCGACCCTAAAAAAGAAAAAGAAAAGGAAACACTACGGTGAATAAACGACTCTAAAGAAGGGGGAAAAAAAGAATGCTACAATGAAGGAACGAGTTCTAGTGGCCGAGCCCTTTAAAAAAAAAAAAAAGGATGAAAGTCGTAAAAAAGAAAAAGAAAAAAGTAAAGTGGTGCTACTATAGTGAATTAGTGAAAGAACAATTTCAGCGACGTAAGCCTTAAAAAAAAAAAAAGAAAAAAAAAGGAGGTGATTCGTAAAAAAAAAGGTACTGCTATAGTGAATGAACAGTCCCACCTCCAAATCTTTTAGTTTTTTTTTTTTTTTAATATCTCTTGTATTTGTAGCCATCAATTGAAAAAATCTAATAAGAACTCATAATACAATCGTAGATTAAGCACAATTCGTCAAATTACTAAAATCTTGTGTTGTGAGATTATCTCTTGTTTTTTTTTTTTTTTTTTAAATTTCATTTGCTTCCTTATAAAATATATCCATGTGTTTTTATACACTACTAAAAGTCTCTCATCTATCTCTAGATTTCTAATTGCATCTTATGTGTCCTTAAAATTTTTGAACATATTCAATTTGTTTTTTTTTCGATTAAATTTTCCGATCGGAGAATTTTTTTTATTGAAATGTCCTTTACTAAAATGCAAAAAAATAAAAATAAAAAGACAAAAACAAAAACACTTAAAGTCAAACTACTTGCATGTGTCATTTTTGAAATCTTTAAAATTTTATTTTTTGTACTTCAATCGAGAGTATTTTGGTCAAAAATATTTATTTGGTTGGAAAAAATTGATCGAAATGACAAATTGAATATTTCAAATATTTTTAGAGATAAATAGGATGCAATTAGAAATCTAGAAACATATAGAATATTTTGAATATTATATAATTACATATGAGTATATTTATTTCATTATTATTATTATTATTATTATTATTATGGTGAGAGTGCCTTTTACCTTCTCGTATGGTTGTTACTAGGCAAAAAGAGAGGTGCACTCCATGCCTTTGAAAGCCACTTGAGAAGTTGGGCACTCTCTTGTTGTATGATACTGACTATTAAAGCATCAGAATTGGTATCTGATTTATCTTTGTCATCCCTTTCGAAGAGGACAAATATATGCAGATTCAGTTAATTCCACCTCAATGAATGGTCTCTAGACAACTTCGCTAGAAAGTGCTGCGTCTATCAAACATGTTAATTGGCATATTAAGCTTGGATGTTCGGCTATTGCAATACTGAACATTGTGATTAAAAAGAACACAAGCATTGTTCATGTACGTACCAAATATTGCTACATATGGCTATTTTGCTTATATACTTAGAATACCATTACAATATGTGAACATAAATGCTCAAGCATCATATCGAAAGAGCCTTAGGTAATTAATTATATGGCGCAGAACAGTAAGCCAGACCACAATCCATTCTAATCATTTCTTCTCATCTTCCTTCTCCTCTTTCTTCTCTTCCTCCTCTTTTTTCTCTTCCTTCTTTTCTTCCGTAGCTGGGCCAACTGAGACTATATCTATTTTTCCTATTTTCTTTAGCTTTTTGGCAATTGCAATTGTATCCATTTCTCCAATGATGGTCAGCTTCTGCTCCTTTAGATCAGCTGCAATTGAGTCAACTCCTGTCGATCAAATAACCCAATTCATAGAAATTTATAAATTTGAAAAATGGTAATGATATTCTAGTTTCCAATTCCAAGTTTGACCACTAGCTATTGGTCCAATAACATTAGCAAAAAAAAAAAAAAAAACCTTCATGTTTTTTTTTTCATTAACTTCTCAATATATATGGTTTCAACAACTTAAAAATCATTTTTGTTTCCACAAGCAAGACATTAATTCAAGTTATATAGCACTGTGTACTGGGAAACTAATTCAGATGAAAACATTTATCGGCAAAGTAATGAAGGAAAGAAGATGATACTTGATGATGTCCATTACATTACTTACTGTAAATATCAGCAACAGCCTCAATAGCTTTCTGCTTTGTCTTTTCATCATTCATGGTCATGATCTTTAGTACCACCTTCTGCAAAAACGATCATAATAATAGCATTAGAAGCGAAAATTATCATGTGTAGTGTTATACTCTTGTTTATTGAAGCCAAACAAGATAGCAGAAACAACAGATCGTGGGGAATAAAGTAACAGTACCTGCGCCATTTATCTGGAAACGATGAATATTCTTGAAGAAATACAGGAAAATTATAAGAGAAACTGTAAATATATTGTGGTTGGGATTTTGATAAATGAATACATTATAAAGCCAGCTGTCCATGCCGTGGCTCAGATCATGAAGACCACTATATGCATGAGTCCCAATTCATATTGTTGGCCACTGGTGCAAGGAAATGCCTTTTTCTTGCTTGCCTCACCGGATTATCTTCTCATCTATAGTCAACATGGAAAGGAGAAGATCCAACTTTCTCATGCATTTGCCTTTTTAAATAACGACAACAATTAATAGTTTTTCATGCATTTTTTCCTATTCGAGAACAACCTTCTTTGCATAAAAAATATATTGATCGTATGGTCCGATTGTCCAAGCAACAAAACAGAATATATATATAATCTTATATGTTGCAGGTTCTAACTTATCTGTAATATGTACGTGTTGGTGGACAATTGATCGATACCATTATGGGTTTCTTAAAAGACTTTAAAAGCATGCAACAATAATTAATATAGTGCATTGATGAATCAACTAATGTAAATATGTAATAGCATCCACTGAAACTAAACTAGTCACAGTCACCCTTAATGTTCTACTCACTACAAAAAAATTGCGATTTGCCACAGGTCATTAGCGACAGTTTAATAAATCCAAACTTCCAACAATTTCGAAAATATTGTCCATTTTTTTAAGATTTTAGCGATAGTTTAAAAATCGTCGCTAATTTCAATCAATTCTAACTAAACAATTTGATACAAAAATAGCGACGGTTTTAAAAACCATTGCTAATTTTATTTTTTATTATTAATTCGTAAGGAAATTGCGATGGTTTTTTGAAAAAAACCATTGCAAATATCCCAAAATTAGCCGTGGTTTTGAAAACCGTCACTAATTTTTGACTCGTTTAAGAGAAACAACTAATTTCAAAATTTTGTTTGAAATTAGCAATGGTTTAAAAACCGTCATTAAAACTTTTAATCCCTAAATACCCTTGACATGAAATCTTTTCACCAATTTTTTTTTCCACCTTCTCGTCGCAATTTTCTCCTCCTTAATTTCTCCATAACTCCTCCAAATCTCATTCTAACTTATTTTCCTCTTCCCCTCCATCGCTCCCCCTTTCTTCCCCCTTTTTCTTCTTCTTTCTCTCCCTTCCCTCCTCCTCCCTTAACCCGGCCTCTCCACCATGAACGAGTGCCATGACAGTAGCACCACTATGACGCAACAACTCCTCCTCCTTCTTGGTGACAACTTCTCCATCATCTAATTCTCAAATTTTTGTATTGGTAACCCATTAATTCTTTTTTTTTTTTTCATTTGTTACAATTATTAAATTTTGTGTTAATTTTTGTTATTAATTATTGTTAATTGTTATTGTTGTTTATTATTTATTAGTTAATTGTTAATGTAATGTTCTTGTTAATTCTTAATGGTGTTATTGTTGTTAATTATTTATTATTTAATTGTTATTTTAATTGTTGGTATTTAGAAAGTTTAATTGTTAATTCTTGTTCTTTTATTATTTATTGATTAATTGTTTTAGTTTTAATTCATTTTTTATTATAAGTAATTTTTATTTGTTGGTTATTAAATTAAGTGTAATTGTTTGTATTTAAATAATTTTGTAAGAGTTAGTCTAGTTAATTACGTGTTTAATAATTTTATTTAGTTGGTTATTAAATTAAGTGTAATTGTATTTATTTAAATAATTTAATTTCTCTTGAAATATTTAATAGGTGGTTTTAATTTAAATGAATAAACTATTAATTGTTTATTAAGTAATTTTTAATAAAATTATTTAAATTTTAGGCAATTAAAATTATTTAATTCTATTAATGTTAGTTTAATATATATATATATATATATATATAAGTGTTAATTCAACTTTAATAAAGTAAATTATTATTTTTTAATTAAAAAAATAAAATATGCTTTAAAATAATATATTAGGTAGTTAATTGAGAAAATTAGTTTACAATTATATTATATAAATATTGTATAAAATAATAGTTAACTATTATTTAAATTTATTTGTTTGTTAGTTAAGTTTATTTGGTTGTTGATTAAGTCAATTACTTCATATCTAAATTAATAATTTGTATTTAAAATAAATTTTTAAGAGTAAGTTTAATTAATTGTGTGTTTAATAATTTTTATTTAGCTGGTTATTAAATTAAGTGTGAATATTGTTTGTATTTAAATAATTTAATTGGTCTTACAATATTTAATAGGTTGGTGTTAGTTTAATTAATTGATTGATTAATTATTTATTAAGTGATTTTTAATAAACTTAATTAAAATATTTAATTATATTTGTGTTAGTTTAATTATGTGTGTTTGTGTGTGTGTGTGTGTTAATTCAAATTTAATTAAGTAAATTTAATATTTTTTAATTAAACATAAATATTGTTTAAAATAATATATTAGGTTGTTAATTGAGAAAATTAGTTTACAATTGTATTATATAAATATTGTGTAAAATATATAATTAATTATTACTTTAATTTATTTTTTTGTTAATTAAGTTTATTTAGTTGTTGATTAGTTCAATTACTTAATAAGTAAATTTAATAATTTGTGTTTAAAATAAATTTTTAAGAGTAAGTTTAATTAATTATCTGTTTAATAATTTTTATTTCGCTAGTTATTGAATTAAGTGTGAATATTGTTTAGATTAAAATAATTTAATTGGTCTTACAATATTTAATAGGTGGTGTTAGTTTAATTAATTGATTTGTTAATTGTTTATTAAGTGATTTTTAATAAACTTAATTAAATTTAGGCAAATTAAATTATTTAATTTTATTTGTGTTAGTTTAATTTTATATATAGGTGTTAATTCAAATTTAATTAAGTAAATTTATTTTTTTTATTAAAAACAAATATTGTTTAAAATAATATATTAGGCGATTAATTGAGAAAATTAGTTTACAATTATATTGCATAAATATTGTATAATATATATAATTAATTATTACTTTAATTTATTTGTTTGTTAATTAAGTTTATTTAATTGTTGATTAAGTCAATTACTTAATAAGTAAATTTAATAATTTGCATTTGAAATAATTTTTTAAGAGTTACTTTAATTAATTATGTGTTTAATAATTTTTATTTAGTTGATTATTAAATTAAACATAATTTTTTGTATTTAAATAATTTAATTGGTCGTACAATATTTAATAGATGGTGTTAGTTTAATTAATTAATTTGTAATTAAATAATTAAATTTTTCATTGAAATAATAAATTTTTTAATTAATTCAAAATATTAATTAAATTGTTAAACAAGTTTTTTTATTTCTTAATTAATTGAAGTAAATTAGTAATTTAATTATAAAAATAATTACATTTAGTTTAAAATGAATTTAGATCGTTTATGAATTGATTATAGACTAACCGATGGATTTTTAAATGAGCGTTTTGTGGATAGGATTAATGAATTTATTAATTTTTTCATTAGTCATTCGGAGTATATGGACGAAAGTAAGCTACATTTTTTGTTGTCTCCCATCAATGACAATAAACAACAATCAATTAATACCACTATTTTATTTGTCTTTTCAAAATAACAAGTCAAATTGTCATATTTGATTTATCATTTGAGATGTCAAAAGTTATTTTAATTTAATAAAATATTTTTAAATTAGTAAGTAATTCATCAATAAGTTGATTGTTATAGAGGTAAGTAAACTTTTTATAAAATGCATAAAGTGTAGCGGTACTATTTTTTGTCGAAGAGTGTAGTATAACCTATCAACCTTTATATTTTTATAAAAACCAATAGACGCATTAGTGTAAGGGCAAGTAAACTCCTTATAAAACAATCATTCATGAGATTGAGAGTTTGAATTTTAGTAGTGTAATTTAATTGTATATGTAGGTTATAATGCCTTGTGATAGAGGACGTTCCCGCATGCAGTGGCCCACATCATATGGTGATGGTCGTCATTCGGACACTAATGACGGCGGTGACCATGGTCGTGGGTGTAGTCCCGCTTTTGTTCCTAGTTGGATCGTTCCCCCCATTGACATGCCTCTATACTACCCACTCGATCCCCTCGTGTCAACCCCATCAATGTTTGACATGTCTCATCCCGAGCCATTTTATTTTGGACCTCCACGTCCTCGATCATTATAGTTGATCGCAAGAAGTACGTTTTATGCATAATTTTATAAAACCTTTTTTTCTATGTATTACTATAATTGTGCATTCATTTAAATGTTATTTAATGTCTATTTTCATAGGTTGCATCCTTCCAATATTTACACTCGTCGTATCTTTAAGATATTCATGAGTATGTTGACATATTCAAATAGACGTGGAAGACAATGAGTTTGGAAACAAAAGACTTCTACTTGGTAAGAGTTTAAGGTAGTATTTTATTTAATTAATTTATTACAAGAATTTATATTTAAATAAGTCAATTAAATATGCTAATAAATATTATTAACTTTCTTACATAAGTCATTTATGTGGGAGAAGAATATCGAGAAAAACATTAAGAAAGCATGGCAAAGTTTGACACGGAGGTGATATTCCGACTTCCTTTTTCACATTAAGAAAAACCCCAAGCCAACATATATGTCACAAGAGATATGGGATGTATGGCATAAAGAATGGGCAAAACATGAGTTTATTGCTCGATCCGAGATGGCGGCCTAGAATCGTAGGAGTGAGACTAGTGGCGTCGGAGCTGGTCCATCTAGACATACGGGTGGTTTGATCAACTATAAAGCGCACGCAATATGCATGGTTTGTCTATATATATATATATATATATAGTTTTTATAATAATTTAAATATAATTAATTAAACATTTAAGTATATTTGTTTCGGCATGATGAGTTCGATTGTGAACCTAATATTCATGAGGTTTTCTTGATAACTCATACGAAGAAGGTTGATGATCAATTCATCTTCATCAATCGGCGAGCAAGAGTTCTCGGAGTAAGTTATTAATTTATAAGGTTATTATATATATATATTG